TATGTCTACACCCAGAATGTGTGAAAATTCCTGGAGAGGTGCAATGCTACACCGAGCTTTCCTGTTTCCATAGCCTAAAAAATTCAAATATATAAAAAATTGTATAAAAAAAAATATCTAGTCTCTTTTAAAATCAAAGTCTTCTAAAACTCCAAAATCTCTTTAAAAGTTTAAAGTCTCTCAACTGTGGGGTCCTGTAAAATAAAAATTTAGTACTTTCCTATTTCAAGAAGGAAGAACCAGGACACAGTCACAATCTGCACAAATCAAAACCAAACTCCAACTGTGTAAATAACTCCGTGTTCAAGGTCTGGGATCCACTAGCGATCTTCTGGGCTCCTGAAAAGGGCTTAGATAACCATCCAGAGTGCAGGAAGTTTATCTTCTAGGCTCAGCTGAGCCCACGTCATGGCTGCTGCTGCCCTTGGTGGCCACCCCGTGGTACAGGTATCCCCAAATGCCAGAGCTCCCTGCTGCGAGTGGATTTCACTTTCACCACAGCCTTTCCACAGTGCCACGCCTCAACTTCCCTGTGTGAGCTCTTTAGTCCTGGGCCTTCAGCTGCTACTATACCTCGCTTCTCACAGTGCCAAGCCTCAGCTGCTCCCCATGACCCCTTCATGTCTTCAAAGCCAACCACCAGGGAGACTTTTACACCTGACCAAGCTTGGCAGCCATCATAAAACTAGCTAGCACACACCCCTAGACAAGAAACTAATCACAAATGATACCTGATGGAAGATGGAAAAATCAGGGTTTTTTTTTTTTTCCAATAAATTGATACTGAGTATATCAACTATACTCTAGGGCAGGCCCAACACAAATCAGATTCCTTGATTTTTAATGACTTTTTTTTTAAGAGAGAAAGAACATGAAGTTAAGTGATAGGGAGGTAAGGGAGATCTGGGAGAAGTTGGGGGGATGGGAAAGAATATGATAAAAGTATACTGTGTGGTGTTCTCAAATAATGAATAAATTCAGTGCTTTTACTAAAAATAGAATTGCTATGTGGCCCAGCTGTATAGCTTCATGGCATATGCGTGAAGTACTCTATATTGTACTGCAGAGATACCTGTACATCCAGGTTTATTCACAATAATGAGGGAGTGTATATGAACAAAATGCATTATATAGGTTTATGAAATTGTCAGTGAATAAATAGAAAAGATAGAAAGTGAATGAAAGCGGTTTTTTTCTTAAAACTGATTTATTTACTTGTAAAATTATTACAGTAAATGCAGCATTAGTTTAACTTCTATCCCAGTGTTATAGGAATGTTGAGTATTGTGCTATGAGTTTAAAATGTGCTATTTAACCTTGCAGATATATTCAACTAATATTGTAAAGAGCTTAAAACATCTTAAGAAAACCCTTTGGAAGTTTTGTAGTCCTACCAGGCAGGTCTGCATTGATTTTATGCCTGGGCTTTATTACACTCTACCTGCCTGAAGCTTTGAGGACTTGGGAAGTGCCAGCCAGCCTACCTAGAATCCATTCCCCTCAGTAATTTAGGTGACAGCTCAGGAGTTACATCTAAGTTGTCCCAACCCCAAGTAACTCTCTAAAACACTGCATGATATAATGTTCTTGGCACACAATGCTAAGGTTTGCTGACTTACTAATAGGCACCTGCCTGCACCTCACAGGAGCATAGAGTCTACAAAGTAACTGACTTTGCCGTGGAGTATCACAGAAATCAAGATTCACACCTGGAAAGTTTCAGATACTCACAAAATATTTGTTATCCAGGCATAGTGACACACACCTGTAATAACACCATTCAAGAAACTAAACCAGAAAAATCATGAGTTCCAGGCTAGCCTGGACTATATAAGGAGTTGTAGGCTAGCCTGGACTACAAAGGGAATTCTAGGCCATCCTGGGCTACATAAGGCTACATTTTAGGACAGCTTGGGCTACATAGGGAGACCCCACCTAAAAATTAAAATATTGAATAAATTGTCACGTGATCAAAATCTAGTTTTGACTTCTCACTTTTCATAGTCATAACGTACTCTGGTCAAGTAATGATAACTAAATAAATCTTATAAAAAAATCCATATTTATCTTCCTGAACTTTCTCCTCTTAGTTTTTGTCTGCAGTATTATGAAATATAAAATTAAAAGTCTAATCAATCATTTCACTTGATGTTCCTTTAGTTTATTTTTGGGGTGGGAAGGGCAAGGTTTCACTATGTAGTTTGAGGGAGCCTAGAATTCACTAGGTTAGTACAGGTTAACCACAATATATGCCTGGTTCTGCTCACCAATGTGGTAGGAATACAATATATGCCACCATGCCAGCCCTTTGAAGTAGTTGAAGACAGCTTCACATACATTTAGGAGCACATCTTTCTTAGTCTGAAGATATTTACTGGGTATCTTTGAACATATAGAGTGCCAGTTCTGGGCTGGGTGTGGGAAACAAAACCATGATTCAGTTCCCACAGTGGAAAAACTTGTTTGGTTACTGCTGCACTTGGAAAAACTATGTGATCCAATATCATAAGAAATAAATATATTAATTATTTCATATTTAAAATGAAATCAATCAAACTTGTTGAACTTTGATGATTTACTGTATGGATTTTGGAGACAAAAAAGTACAGAAAAGGATCCTATCCCCAAGGAGGACTCTAAGAAAAACTTTGAAATGACATTAAGCAATAGAATAGTTAATGTTAAGCTATGTGATGCTCATCTTAATTGCTTTTGGAGTTGGGGGGGGGGAATAGAAGATTACCTTGTCTGTCCCCGGGGAGGACAGAGCTGCTTTCACTATGGAAAGGTGAGTTCAATTTCAGGTGGGCTGCCGACGAAGAGACACGAGCTCCGCCGCCAGAAACCACGCAAGGAAAAGCTCAAATGTTCTCATGTTCACATATCAAATGGAGAACTGTTGGAAAATGAATTGCTGTTGTTCAGTCTCTGGGAACCGAGGAAACTGATCCACCACAGACAGGGGTTTCAAAGGATGGCTGCCACGGTACAGTGTAGACGTGACTCTAGTTCTCATACCTTTGCTCTGGGTACATCTAGCTCCTTTTCATTGCGACCACCTCAAATGTAGCTTTCAAACGGAGCTCACTGTAGGTGGAGAGGAGAAGTCCACCGAGAACACGGTCCAGTGACCCGGAAGGCTGTCGGAATGGAAATGGGAAGAGCAGGGGAGAGTTTGGATATGGACACTACTGGGGACTTAAGAAAGGGCTCTACCTGTTGACTAATAGCTGTGATGCCCCCATGGGACTGGACTAGGCCCTCTGGATAGGCGAGACAATTGTGTCACTTGAACTGTTTAGGGAGCCCCCAGGCAGTGGGATCGGGATCGGTCCCTGGTACATGAGCGGGCTTTTTAGAGCCTATGGTGGGACACCTTATTCAGCCTTGGTGCAGCGGGGAGGGGCTTGGACCTGCCTTAGCTGAATATACCAGGGTCTGCTGACTCCCCATGGGAGGCCTCGCCTTTGAGGAGGTGGGAATGGGGGGTGGGTTGGGGAGGAAGGCCGGGGAGCAGGCGGAGAGATGAGAAGAGGATCTGTGGCTGGTATGCAAAATGAATAGAAAATTTCTTAACAATAAATTTAAAAAAAAAGAAGAGGAAAGAAAGAAAAGAAAGGGCCCTATGAGAGGACAAAAACAAAGGTGTCTCCTCAGTGTCAATTGGGAGAGTTATCAGGAGTGGTACCCTAAAGGAGTAAGCCAACTATGCAATCCCCAACCATAATTTCAGGTCTGAACATCTCTGAACACATCACACTGTAAAATAAATCCAAGCCTCATAGTTCTCTGAGGAAACAGGTTGACTACATAAGATGTTTCATGCTGTTATTCTGGAAAGGGGAGGCAGGAGGGAAGAAACAGGTAGGCCAGTGTGTATTATGCAAAGACCCCGTCTCTGTACAGTAAGGCCCTGTCTCTAAGTAAAATGAAATTCTAAAGTTTTAAAAAGACTAAAAGCAGAAACCTAGGTTCTACAACATATGGAGTATGCCTCAGGTTACCCTTCTCAGGCATGGAAAAAATTGTATAAAATCAGGTTTTTCTGAGTTCGGTACCTTGGGCTTTGGAAGAAGTCATTTGGGCCTATAATGTACTCAGTCTGAAAATTACATTTGAGATGAGAATGAAAAGGGGCTGCCTGTGAGCACAGAGTACAGGTGTAGGAAGGGCTTTTTCTGTGAACTCAAATAGTGTTTATAGAATGCATGTTGAAAGGCAATGTTAAAACACCCCTCACAGACAGTTCCAGCTCTCTTCAGCATGTCTAGACAGCATCCACAGTAAAGCGATGGCTTAAGGCTTAGCATGTAACAGCTAAGCCACCAGATTTCCCGACATCATCTTCCACTCAAGCAGATACCTCTGAGAGAACCGCAACCACAGCGCCTCGAATACCATGTTCCCGGGGATTTGTGTTCCCATTCCTTAGCTGTTGAACAAACTCCACCAGGATGGACAGGCGCCTGTCTCCACTTGCCTACCTTGAGTCACAGAACACCCAGGCTTCCTTTGAAGCAAGACCACAGAGTACGGTGTTTTCCCTCCAGGGGTTACTACTTGTTCAAACAGATGTACAAGTGTTCTTTGCAAAAGCTCGCTTGTTCCTCCTGTGTTCGTTTTCTGAATACTACACTCAGGGTTTCCCATATTTCTTAGCAAGACAGAAGAAAGCTAAAATTGAATATTAGCAATAATCTAGAAATAGAAGTAGCCTTTCACTTGCTTAGAGTCCTGACATGTGGGCCAGGTTTTCTTTAACATTACACGTGTGACAGAGTGTGTTACCAAAGTCTATGGTGGAACACACATATTCCATAGACAAATATGGGTGTCACACTCCTAGCTAAGTGAGGGGATATTTGCATGTATCTTTCTCTCCCCTCCCATTACACACTGACCTCAATGTTCCTGGATGTTAATGAAAATCAAACATGCTCCTGCAAGCAAGGCCGAAAACCAACTAGTTCATCTGACCCATTCCGGCTTCTTAATTGCTATGAGTTCATTTTAATAGGAGAGGTTACTATTCTTGTTTAATCCAGCAGCTTCTGGCAGAAATATTCTAACAAAACTGATGCAATACATCCTGCAATTAACACTTGCTCTTTTATCTGTGCTCCAGAATGGGATAGTAGATCCCTAGTCAAGTTTTATCTGCTGCATTCACTCACCATTCTGTCCATCTTTTAATTTTCCACAAACCACACTCAAGACACATTTCGGATATGCTGTGAGTTTTGTGCACCTGGCACTCTTATTAGCATCAGAAATAGACCAAGAAAACAGAGTTCAGAAAGGACAGGCTTTTGCTTTTATGAGCGTCTACTGTTAGCAAATCACTTTTTTCCCATTTCATATATTATTCAAAACTACCACCCCGCTGATAGGTTTATTGTTATCCCCATTTTATTAATATGGAAAAAGAGCTTTGTGAAGGAAATGGACCTTTCAAGAAGTCGTACAGGAAAAAGTAGTGAATTATTTGATGCATTCAGATATTTGTGGATCATCTGCACCTC